CATGCATGGTTTTTTTGATACTTTCATACAAAATAATATTTGATTTTTAGTAAAATTAAATATAATGATATTTAATTATTAAAATTATTGATTCTTAACCAAATAAAATGGTTTTAGATTATGAGTGATAATATCGCCCTAGTAATAAATCACTTAACTGACTAAATTACTATGATGATCTTAAAAATAATAGTAAATACTACTTAAGAGGAGGCATCTAGCAAATATGAATTTCAAATTTCAATACTTATAATTTGTTTCTCTATCTTCATATTACAATCTCTGAAAAAAAAAAAAAACTATCAAATCATTTTCGGAAAGAAAAATCTAGCAAATGAAATTAAGTTGTTCTATCAAGTAAACTGCTTTTTTTTTCTTTTTCATTAGAAATTAAGATATATAATTGTAGCTAGCAATTTGGTGCATGATGCATGAATAGAGTTTTATAGTGAATCCAATGGAAACGTTCGGTGGTCAACATGTAAAAGCAATAAAAAATGTAGTTTTATAGTAATTAATTTCTTTTGGTGCTTGACGCAAGCATGTTAGGTTAAGATTGTTGTAAGACTGGTGATCGTCTCATTTTCATTTACCTTAAAACATACATATTGGTTTTTAAATTACAAAAAAAGTAACATTTACATTCTCTTATGCCATAAATTTCAATTCCATTTCTCAAGGTTTTAAACTTGAAAGCTTAGCATTTAAGGTCTTAATATATAGTTTTATAGCTGTTAAGGTATTTTTTTTTTTAGATTCAAATGTTTTTGGCAAAGCTTAATCCGATGATTGTTCATGGAACCAGCGGCCCGATTCAACTTTCTATGGTTCGAAAAAGCCCTTCGACACCTCTCCTTGCTAACTATTAAGCAAAGGGCAATTTTTGGGAAAAAAAAAAAAAAAAAAACTTGCCCCAAAACAAAAAGGAAAAATGAGGCTAGCTAGTAAGTTTTTGACTAAAATTAAATAGCATTGAATCCAAACTTTACTTCAGTGTATTCATATAATTATGTAATCTCGACAAATTTAAAGATAAAATTCCGAAACATACAATTTTTTTATATTAAAAAATTAAATTGCATTACGGTTATCCCAAATAAAGGGCAAGAATAAACCAAGCTATCTCTTTCTTTCTTTGACGGCCAAAACATATAACATAATATATATATATATATATATTTATAGATCCACTGCTCACTGCCCTGATTGAGAAGGAAACTTTATTAGAGACAAATTTACCTAAAAATGTGTCTCTCATTACTCCAACATCAAAATATCGTACCCATTCCATTTCATGTGATCGTTGGGGGCAGGAAGGAAATATGCATGCATACCCAAACAATTCTCTCTTCCTCTTTTTTTTTTTTCTTTTAATTATAAGAAAATATTTCCCCTGTTTGGATCGCACATTGTTTGAGGTTTAGATTGTTTGCATAGAAAATTCAACTATAGTTAATACGAGTAAACTTTTATGTATGAAACCCAAAGTCAAGTTAGATTTTCTTCGTTCTTTTAAGGCATAAGCGACCTTCCTTAACAAAGTTGGGCCTTGAGACTAATTTTTTTATTTTTAAATTATAATTTTTTGGCAAAAAAAAATGTGAATTTATTAAATAATTAGCCAAGAAACGGTGTATTAAATTAAGAGAAATTATTTGATATATTGATAGTAAATTTTTTTAACTGTACAAGTGAGATTAAGATAAAACATATATCTTTTTTTTAATTATTTTTTAAATATGTAAAGAATATATATCACTATTTTAATTTTATTTATAAAATTTAAAAAATTATAATATCAATATATTTGATAATTTCTTTTAAATTAATGTGAGAATATTAATGGGTAGTAAAAGCCTTGAGACTTTTAGTTTAAGTTCTGCCTTGAGAGAATCTCATCCCAACTAAGTGTAGGCCCATTTTTTAATCTTGGAGTTGGGCCAAAAACGAGGCTGCTTGTCCTTAGAATTCATATGCTATAAGTTGATTATTATTACAAAGTTAAACATGCTTCATGCTTGTTTGCCAAAACCACAATCCCCAAAGGCCACAAAGTTCTAGCTACCTAATACTAATAATTTATCAAATGTTCTTAACAAAAAAAAAAAAATCAAATGACAACCACAAAATATAGACAAGCAATTATATTATAAATCACGCAATAATTTGAATTTTTTTTTCTTTTTTCTTTAATTTTCCATACGGGAATTCTCACACCCACCTTAATAATCTCCTTTTAATTTGCTCCAACTTTTTTGTCTACCAAATATGCGTAACTTTTTTTTTTTTGGAATTAAAATATGGTGATTTTTATAAAAAAAAAATGATGAATTTTAAAAGTATTTAAGGATAATTGGGCGGGCTAAAGACTAATTTAGCATTAAAATTAAAAGTGACTTTTGCATTAAAATTTTACTTTGTAATCAATCTCAACATTAAACAATTAAAAATTTTTTATTTGTAAACTTAAATAAAAAAACTAGTAAAGAGGTATTTTTTGCATTCAATAATAATTTTTTATTATTCTCATATTTTAAATTTTTATTATTTTTAAAATTTTTTTATATTTCGAATCTCCACATCATTTTTTTTTTTTTTGCAATAATATCAAACACTTAAAATTTTTAAACCATATATTTCTTATTATTCTTTTAAATACTTTTCTTAATCAAAACTTTTTGTGATAGGAAATACTAAAGTAAACCTAAGATTACCCTAATTTGAGCCCTAGCCTATGAAAACTAGATTACATATTCTTATAATAAACATCTTATGTAAATATATAAAAATCAAAATCTTGGATAAAAAATGAAAAAAACTGATGTGGATGGTCTGTTATTTTGACATATGGACAATCTTAAATAATAGCCACATGTCTTGTATTTAATTAGTTTTATTTGATTTCATATAAATTTTAAAATATTTCAATACATTAATTATATTTATTTTCTTTTAACATTTCATTTAACTTACTTTTTACATATATATGTAATATAAGAGTTGACTCATTAACCAGTTATTTGATATAATCATATTTGATTAAGCATGATATCCAACCAAATAATTGATTTAACCCACGTATAAATATAGAAAACAAAAATATTTAATTAATTTGTCATTATTAAGATAATGAATTATATTGTTTCCCTCTCAATTTCCAACTAACTATTATTTGATTACCATTCACTTACGATATTTATTATTTTAATATTCAATTTCATCATTTTAAAGTTACTTATTAATTAACCTACAATAAACCTTTTGTATATATAACTCTAGATTTTTTAAAAATTTTGATAAGTAACATAATTTTAATTATTATTTATTAATTTTTATGATTGTCAAATTTTCACTTCAATTTTTACTTTGAATTATTCATTGGTCTCTATTGCTCAAAAAAAATTTTTTTTTATATTGGTCAACTTTCAAATTACGTTTATTAAAAAAAATACAACTTTTTAAAAATATAAGTTGTTAAACTCCATCTTTTAAGCTTATGCATATACTTTTAATATCTTGATTTTAAAATGATTAATTAATGATCAAATTAATTAAAATTAAAATTGATATATCAAATCAAATTAATTTCAGTTATCTTTGTTACACTAATTTCAAAATCCTTTTTCTTTTAATTTCTCTCAAATAAAGTAAATACACATTATATTTGACTGTTTTAATTGTTATGCATAAATTACTCTTAATTTTGTTCTTAATTTTATTTTAATCAATTAATTATTCAAAAGTTATAAATAATTTTATAATTACTTTCAAGACCGATCTATATAAGTGAATGTTTTCTGGGATGCTTAAGAAATAAATTATATCATTACAAAAAAAAAAAATTTCATGATACTCTTTTTGCCATGGAGTAAAGGTAGCTTAGGATTTCTTCTTTTTTTTTTTTTTTGTGATGTTGTATATAGATGGATTAGATACATAAAAATTAATAAAGTCAATTACTATTAAAGTTTTTATCACTTCTATTTATTTTTGTATTATTTTGATTACTATTTTTTATGGTTAGTTTAAATTCAAGTTTGCGACATCTTTTTGGAAGGCATATTACTATTGATTGAATTATCTTTGCATCATAAGAATTACTCATATATTCTTCAAGAAAAAAGATTTTTTGTTAAATAGTTAAGGAAAATTTTACACATATGATCTTAAATACATGTTTGATAAAATATGTCGTAAGGATTAACAAATATTTTCTCCTACTTTGCTTGCTGATTAATAATGTCAATCTGTTTGATGAGTGATAACCAATTAATTCATTAACCAAGTTAATAATTTTAATCTATAAGTTTAAGTTTTTTAAAATATCATTATGTATATATTTATTACCCATATTATTAGAATTAAATTTTTAACAACAAAAATATAATGAAAATTTAAAAATTTTTTAAAATATAGTTTTTAAAATAAAAATATGTTAAATTATTTATAAATAATAATATAAAACAAAAAATATATTAAAATTAATTATTTCGTACATAACACGAATTTAAAATTAGTTGACATGTGATAAGCAGAGGCTATTATTATTATTATTATTAAAGTTATTAAAATAATCAAAGGACTACTTTCTTATAAGTGCATATTTTGAATTAAATTTAACATAATTCGTTTCTTAGGATAATGAAAAAGGGTAAATTTTGGGAAGTGGAACGAGCTTGTTAAAGCTCAATTTATTTTATTTTTATAACTAATATGTAATCATTTTGTAAAAAAAAAAACACCAAGAGAGAAAGGAAAGGTTTAGAGTACAGCAAATAAAATCATAGAAAATCATCTTTCAAGTTAAAAACGTTCCGTCAAGTCAAAAGAAAAAAAAAAAAAAACTGAAATAAGTTCAAACCCTTCGTCTCCAAACAGCCTAATTACAATAAATAAATAAATAAAGAAAAAAGAAAAAAAGAAAAAGGCCAATACGTAGCAGTTGAGGTTTGAATTCAATAAAAAATGGTTGACAAACGCAAACACAAACAACAGCCAGACCGACCAACCCCTGTACGTTTTTGCAGGGACCGAATCAAGCAAAAGCACGAGTGCGCTACAGCCAAAGAAACGCGGTAGCAACCAAAGAGAAACTTACCTTTAAAAGTGACCATTTTCAACATGGTCTTTTCCACGTCCATTTATAGCATTCAATTATCATCTTCATATTATTATTCCTCCTCCTGCTGCATAGCCGCTGCTCCCTATTCAAAGCCAAAACCAAAACAACTTTCTCTCAACCGTACCTCTGCTTTTCTCTCGGGTACCCCTGTTTTTCTGTTCCACGTTCTTCTTTGTTTTTTAGGATGAAAAAGATTGAGATCCTGTTGAAAGTTGTTTCTTTTTGTTTGGTTGAGTGCAGATATGGATGCAACAAGCAGTCCAGGATTGTACCCTTTGCACCTTTGTAAAACTCTGCATCTGGTTTGTGATTTTGCTGTACAGTCTTTTTTGTTTGATTGGTTTGGAATTTAAAATGATAAGCCAATCTGGTTTTCGTATTGGAACTATTTATGCAGGTGAGGCATGCTCAGGGGATTCATAATGTGGCAGGGGAAAAAGATCATGACGCTTATCTATCTGAAGAGCTTTTCGATGCCCATCTCTCGCCTCTTGGCTGGCAACAGGTTTATAATGGAAAAATGTTGGTTAAATCATTGATTTTTTTTTTTTTTATCAACAAAAGGGTTGAAAAATCTAGCAATAGTGTTTATTGGATATTGATTAAAAATTCTGAATTTGTATGTGTAATTGTACCAATGTTATAACAGGTTGATCATCTGCGCAAGCATGTTCAAGAAACCGGGCTTTCTAAGAAAATCAATTTGGTCATTGTTTCCCCTTTGCTGAGGTATATAACTTTTCAATCTAGATTGTTCCTTTACCAAAATTTTGCATTTATGCTTTTTCCTTGCTCTTCTTTTTCTTTTAGTTGTATTATTTTTAGAAGCATAAAACTTTTTGTCATCATTTTGCTAAGTTAGCAATGTAGTGGTGGGGTTTGTCCTAGCAATATTTTATAATTCTCTTTGCTTTAGAATAATATTTTAGGATATAACAATAGAAAACGTAAGTTTATGCATGCTTGCCTAGGCTTATTCGCACAAATTTATAGCAGAAGAGCAAAAATATGCTTCACAGGATAAGTTCAGTGCAAAATCAACCATCTTCTTTTGTAACTTTGAAGACTAGAAAAAGAAAATGAAAAGACAAGAAACTTATCTAGAGGAAATAATGGATTTAGAAATTTTGGCATTATAGGACCATGCAAACTGCAGTGGGAGTCTTTGGTGGTGAAGGGTATAAGGATGGGATGAACGTACCTCCACTAATGGTGGCAGATGCAGGCGAAAGTCACCGTCCTGCCATTTCAAGTCTGAATTGCCCGCCATTTGTAGCAGTTGAGCTTTGTCGAGAACGTATAGTATGTCCTTGAACTTCTTATAGAAAACTAACTCTTTTCTCTGAATGGATCTGTGGACTTTCCAATTCAGTGCCGTAATGGTTTGCATCAATTATTTATCTGGTGTAACGACGAATATATATAAACCAATCCAATTTCATGCATGTGTTTGCATGATAATGAACTGCGTTTTCTCTTCTGAGATTAAAAGGATGCAATTATTTTACTTCAACTCTTTGTCTTTATCAAGTATCCTAGTTGAACTGATCCCAATTCAGTGCCGTAATGGATATACAAAGTCATTATTGTTATTGTTTTATAGGTTGATTCCTCCCTTTTTACCGTACAAAAAATTTTGCAATACTGCATATTTTCTTTTCTGTCTTGGTATTTCGCATTGATATTCAATATCCATCACTATACTTATATACTTGATCAAGCTCCAAAACTTTGCTTTGAGAACAACTGATGTATTTTAACTATCTTTTTTTTTTTTTTTTTCACTTGGTGCAAATTAAATTTCACTTTTTCACCTTTGGAATGTGGGTTTCTGATGCACCAATGCTTAAATGAAGGTCATCTGTTTAATTGCTTCCATAGCACATAACACTTAAGAAATTCTGTATTTAGAGAAGAATGGATACTGCAGATTCTAGTGCAGTTAATGTAAGAAAAAACCATAAGTTGGCAAATATTTGTGTACTTAAGAGTTAGTTCATTTGGTAGTAATTTGCTGCTAATATTGATTGCCTAAATTTTCCTCTTTATTTTTGTTGAACTTTTGATCATGTTATGCCTTTCTTCTCTCCTCTCATTTTCTTTTTTTTTTTTTTCCTCCTCTAACCATTGAACCACAGGGAGTCCATCCATGTGATAGAAGAAAAAGCATCAAAGAGTACCAGCCTCTCTTTCCTGCAATTGATTTTTCTCTGGCAAGTCATTTGTCTTAGTGTAGCTTTCATGATCAAGTAATTATGATTCTCATTCACTTTGCTGATATCAGTTATTGTTTTCATTTCAAATTCAACATTGGTTGATTGGAAGAAATCTTGTCTCATTCTTTCCTTCAGATAGAAAGTGATGAGGACATTTTATGGAAAGCAAATACTAGAGAAAAAAACGAAGCACTTGCAGTCAGAGGAATGAAATTTTTGAAGTGGTGAGTGACCCATTTGTTTCTTCTTTACAAAAATTTCCCTTTTTTGATCAACATAACAAAGAAATGAAAGTGTTCAAGCCTGGAAAAGACTTAGATCATATATTGAACTAAAAATGCACTTTCCCATGACTAGATCATATACTCCTAACCATCTTTTTCCTTTATCCATCTATCATTTGCTGCAGGTTGTGGACGCGAAAAGAGAAGGAAATTGCGCTTGTTACCCACAGTGGGTTCTTGTACCAAACCTTAAATGCTTTTGGGAGTGATTGTCATCCATCTGTGAAAAGTGAAATATGCAAACAGTGAGTTCGGCAAAATGTCAATTGTCAATTAACCACTATGAAGATTGTTATACAGGCATTATTTATTAGTATAGATGCTTGCAATATCTTTAAAGCATTGGATTATTATGGACTAAAAAAATATTTTGCAATATCTTTTGCAGCTTTGCCAATTGTGAGCTTCGGTCTGTGGTTATTGTTGATAGAAGGTAAGCATGACATTTTAATAACTTGAAATAGAACTCATGTTCTAGCTCCTGTTAAATTGTTGAAAGCTTTTTTTTCTTTTTTCTTAATCGTAGTATGATGGGATCAGATCCTGCAACAACTAACTATCCTGGAAAAATCCCTAGTGGGCTTGACCTTCCAAGTGATGTTGCTGATGAGAAGCATTCAGAAGGAGTAGCCAAGTAGTTATTAGCCTGGAGAGACGACCAAGCGGAATTCGAGTTTGCTTGATATCCATAATAGGATTATTTACAATAAAAAACAAAAAAGACTTTAAACATGAATTCCTACGTCCTAGGATTTTCTTTGACAAGTTTTTTTTTTTTTTTTTGCTGCTCATACAAAACAGATGGATCCATGTTGCACCTTAGTATCACCAATTTTCATTTTTAGCTGTCCGGGTTCCATTCGATCTAGTGGCTCCTAGGCCTTGCGAGTGCCTTAAAATCAATAGACCATCGATTCTGATTTTTCGAATTGACTTTTGTACGAAGGTCTCAAACTCTGTATGAATTAGTTGATTCAAAAGACCATGAATCAACTGTGTTACGAATATAATCGAACATAATCAAATTATATAACGAGAAATTTAAATTTGATTTAAAATTTATCGTTCAAAATTTGATTTGAGTTCGATTAAATTTTTATTATTTTTAAATTTGAGTTACGCTCGAAATAAAATTTAAATTATTTAAATTAATTTGATTAAATTTATTTAATAAAAATAAGCTCAAATTTAATTATATATTTGAAATCATACTTGAATTTGAATTAAGATATATATATATATACTTACGAGTAAAATAATAAATTTTTATTAAAAATATATTAAAATAAAAAATTAAATTAAATTTACGAGTTATTTAAATTGAATTTTAAGAGACTTTAATTTGGTTCACTTTTCAAATTGAATTACTTAAACTCTAAGTAAATTATAAATATTAATGTATTATTTGCGCAACTAAACTGAGCCAAAACAGCATGGTAAAGCCCCTAATTGATGTAACATTTTTCATGCGAACAGATGAGAACGATGAAGGGCCCAGATTATTACCTAGTTTTGGGACGATATTACCATATTAGGCTCATGGATTAGTGGGTCAGGAGGGTCCGGAATTAAACTAACTGCTACCTTTCGACAGTGTGCAGCATCACTATCAAATTAAACTCTTAGCCCAATTGTTCTTTGGATCAGAACCGCGTTCAGAAAGTCAAGGAATTAAACAAAACAAACAGATTTTTTTTTTTTTTTACGGATTCATTGTGTCAAATAATGCTTTCTTTTCTAGTAAGGAAAATATAATTATCATACTTTAATAAACATCTTTTAAAAACAAGTAATATTTTGGTCACACTTTTTAGATGTGAATGAATTGCTAAATCCCAACTTTTTAAGTTTTATTCAAAAGATTGAATTTTCTTTTTTTTCCCAATAGAAATGAAGTGCTATCAATGATCTTAGACACTTTTTAATTTTCCAAATATTGACAATGTTTAACATGATGTTAATTTTTTTTTTTTGAATTATAAATGGAATAATATTCAACTAATCCAATATTGTCAGTGAAACTTGCATGGAATCAGTTATTTGTGACGATGGACCATAAAATTTCCTCTTCTGTTATATTCATATTCGGAGAAGTCAAAGGCATATTTTCCACCCAAGTGGAAAATACTTTGTATTTTCCAAACCTAAGCTAAACTTAGTCCCAACAAAAATAATCTTCAACTAACCATAACCATAAATAATAATTAAAGGAATTTATTTGGACCGACAAAGTCATAATTATTGTTACATGATATGAATGTAAAACTAAAAGGCATTAATTATAAGGGTTTGAAATTTTGATGCATTATTCTTTATTTCATTGCCTGAATTAAGACTTAAAAACATTTTTCATGATAGCCTCCATATGTACAGAGAAAACTTCTCCTTTTTAGTTTGTCTTTCTTTTGTATTTTCAACTTTTGCTTTAATTCTATCTGACTATCTTTACAATGAAAGAAAAACATGTTTTACTTCAGTCTTCAGCCATTGTCTCTCTTGACTTTGATGTTGAATTAAATGCTAGCAACCTACACTACACTACACTTTACATATATATTATATAATATGAACGTAAAATACTTGTATGAAATGGGTCTTGATGAACAACTGCTGCTACCTACCCTTAAAACTGGGGACAAGTCACAAGTGATAATATATATATATATATATTTATATCTTAACACCTAACTCGTTCCATGCACATTTATGAACGCATCAATGTATATCGTATTAGACTAATAAAGAGGTTTTTTTTATAAAAAAAGTTATAATATAGAGATAGAGAAAATTAAAGATTATAAATATTAAAATATAAATTTTAAATTAAATATTATCTTTTAAAAATAATTTCATAAACCAATTTAATTAAGTTTTGAATTCGACAAATTAAGATTTATATAGTTAACTTGCGGAAGATTTTTGTTTATGAAAAGCAAAATCAGACACTTTTCACCTTACATTGTTCTAATTTTTTTAGAAGAGGAGGCCAAAGTAAAACTATTATTTGGACCAGCCTCAATTGAGAATGTTTTAGTACTACAATAATTAAATGGCACAAGGGTTAAAAAGGTATTAAAATTTTTTTAATAATTTTTTTAATTTTTTATATTTTATTACAATAAACTAAGTATTAAGTTTTTTTATTTTAAATTAATTAAACTCTTAAATAATTATTTTTATTCAAATAAATTCTTATACACCTATTTTTACTCTATTAAACCCTCAATTGAATGGATATAATTAATTATTTTTTTAATAAAGACTTAATTGATGAAAATAGATGTTTAATGATTTAATTTATTACAAAAAAAATGATTATTGAATTATAATTGAAGGATTTTATTTTATTTTTTTTTAACTCTTTTACCTAATTAAATCAAACCAACAGGAAATAGCTAGAGAATTCCCTCAGAGAATTAATTATCAATTGCTTTTAATGATTAATAAATTTTGCAGATATATATTGAGTGTTTGACTGCTTCTAAGTTGTAATATACTATTCAGAGCAAACGGAGATTTGGTTTTCACTTTACCGTGTGAATTGCTACGTTCAAACACACAATCTAACGTCTAAGGTCTTTGAAAATGAAAAAAAAAAAAAAAAAGGAAAAAGGAAACAAATAATCCCTGGTTTACGTTTGCATGGATTGAAAATTAATACTAAGAATCAAAGTGAACCCTCCACATTACTTTACTTTCCTGTTTCATGCTATATATTTTAAGCCTTTGGCGTTACTTTTCCCTCATTCTATTTCCCTTTGATTTCCTTTTTTCTCAGTTTTCTGGTAAGCTATAGACTTGCAGGTGCATATTTATTCAATTTGAATATGATTTATAATTTATGATGATCTGTTCTTTGTGGGTTTTTTCCACGAAATGTCTGTCTATATGTAAAATTATATATAGTCTATGTTCAGCTGATAAGTTTTTGAAAGTTGTTGGGAAATGCAAGTCAAAGTCGCATTTTTCAAAGTTCCTTCCATGGACATTACTTTTTTTAAAATAATAAAAAAAATTCTTGGATTTTACTATTTTTTTAATAAATTTTTAAATTTTTATTGCATTAAAATAAGTCAATGATTTTAAATACGTGTAAAATAATAATTTCTCATTATCACAAATATTTAAAGTAAAATTTTTACTTGCATTATAAAGAGTAAATTTTTACACGATTAAATAGAACAAGAAAAAAATGTAATAATTAGTTTGAAATAAAAATATATTTGGATATATATATCAAAATATATAAGTTTATTTGGGTATAATAAAAATATAAAGAGTTATTTAATTTGTAAAATGATAAAATTTAAAGATTGCTTTTAGTATTTTAGCTTTTCTTTCTTCTCCAAATTAGTGAGAAATTAATACCATGAGCCAATCACAAATTTTTAGTGATGAATTCAAAAAATTTTTTGAAAGTATTTTATTATAATATATATATCTATAATTGTTGATAAATTTATTAATTTTATCAAAGAAAAATATGTCTAAAAACAAATTTTGGAGATGTTAGAGATTTTTTTTAATATTTTAATTTTTCAATCCATTAAGGGTGTCTAATACCGTCCTACTTCAACGTATGCATCCTTTTTTTCAATCTCTTAAGGGTGTCTATTACCGTCCTACTTCAGCCTATGCAGCCAACTGCAACATATACATGTAACATTCCCCGTTGCTTGCTATATATTTCCTTCTCAGATTCCATCCTGTTTCCTTCTCCTTTACTCAGAACTAGCTACCGAATATTCTTCCATAATACTGTCCTAACTATTCAATTAAGGAGTCACATAGGGATACGAACCAACCTAGAAAATACTGCGGAAGTCTCTCCCTCTCACTCTATATATATGGTCTGCAGCGTTTTAAAATTTACATTTACTTCTGCTACAATTTCTCATTTCTAGCCATTCTTTTCTGCTCCATTGTTTCCCTTCCTTTTGTAATTACAAGCTTTTCTATTGCTTAAATTGAGTTTCCGTTTCCAGGAAATGAATGCCACAGAAGCTCAATTTCCATACCCATGGCAGCGTTGTAAAATTATTCACTTGGTATGTATATATTACCAATACCAATTCTTTTAATATTAAAATCAAATGCCTTGAATGGTATATTATGTTAATGCTTGAAGGTACATCCGTTAAAATTAGCTTCGTAAAAGGCTTTTTTATGAAACCATAGACTTTTTACTGTTTCCAGGTGAGGCACGGACAAGCTATGCATAATGTGGAAGGAGACAAGAATCGTGAAGCACTGTTGTCTCCTCAACTATTTGATGCACAACTCTCCCCGCTTGGATTGCAGCAGGTAATTTAATAATGAATAGCTGGGTTATTATCATCAAACCTAAATTAATTCGGATCCACAAATATTGATATATATATATATATATATATATAATCATGCTTGATCTTTCTGTTTTTTTGTCTGTACAAAAGACAACGTAGCTTAGGGGAAAGGATTTTAAAGCGCTGAGATTTGAATCGTGACCAGTTGGATGCCTGTGTGAACCAATGAACTAAGCTGTGGATTCTAATCTTTCTGCCTTTTTATAGGTTAGTAAACTGCGCCAGGATGTTCATGCTAGTGGGCTACTTAAGAGGATTGAGTTAGTCATCACTTCCCCTCTGTACAGGTATGAAATTCGATTTTTGCCAGAATTTCAAATTCTTGTTCGGGGCTTGCTAATCATATTGCATCCCAAGCTCAATTGAATATTTGGATCCAAGTCCCTAAAAAAAATCAAAGAAATATGTGCATTTTCAAATATATTTTAACGTTTGCCAACGATTGTTGACGTAGCAATATTCACTTCAGGACAATGCAAACAGCTATTGGAGTTTTTGGTAGTGAAAGCCACGAAGATGGAGGGAATGAAATTTTTTCTTCAATATCAGCTGCTCTTAATTGCCCACAAATCATGGCAGTTGAGCTTTGTCGAGACCGCCTGGTATGGCTGAAATCTCCCATGTTAGGCTTTCTTTACACCAACCATGATTGGACTTCTATAATATTGATGCATGCATTTCCTTCACAACAGGGTGTTCGTCCTTGTGATATGAGGAGAAGGGTCAGCGAGTGTCGGGCTCTTTTCCCTTCAATTGATTTTTCAATGGCAAGTTCTTAATTTATAGCCATTCTATCATTAAATAGTATTTAAGAAATAGTATATAAGGTTGCAAGGTTTTTAATAGTTTAACATGGCTTCAAAAGAATTCAGAATAGAATTTTATGTACTTTCATTATTTTGATCTTTGTTCAGATGGATGGTGAAGATGATAATATGTGGAATCCGGACGTTCGAGAGCCTGAAGAGAAAGTTGCCGCACGGATGATCCTGTTTATGAAATGGTAACTCACAATTTTCTTCATAAATAAATTTTAGGACCATAAAACTGGAATTTAACTCTGTTAGTTCATGCAATTACCCTTAAGAGATAGCTTCCAACAAGTGTTGGATTCAACTTTCATTCGATTTATGCCATATTTCAGGCTGTGGACAAGGCCAGAGCAGGAGATTGTTATTGTGAGCCATGGCATAATCCTACAGCATATACTAAATGTACTTGGAAATGACTGTCATCCAACAGTTAGATCAGCATTATGCAAACGGTGAGACTTAAATATTGTCCAGCTATGTTCTTCGTCTCCTTTAGACAAAACTTGAATGTTCTTTGCTTTGAAAATTTCAAAGTTTCTGAATTTGACTGAGCACGAGTGAATGTCTCTGATCTGGGTTTTCAGCTTTGACAATTGTGAGCTTCGTTCGGTTGTCATTGTGGATAAAAGGTAAGCATTTTGTTTCCAAATTTGGAGACATTAAGACAACCTCGTATGCTTAATCTGAAACAGTTTTGTTTTTGTAGCCTAATCGGAGGGGATTAACCGCTTTGCTCACCAAGAGATGTTGCAAAAGAGAAGTTTCCAAATAACTGGACTCAGTGACTTCTGAAACAATAGACTCAGTGTTGGAACTCTCCAAGGATTCTTTAATCTGTTTATCAAATTTGTATTCTTTAATCTCTTTTTTTATTTTAAAAGTGATTTTACCAATAGAAGTATGTTTCTTTTGTAAAATGATTGATTGATAACCAATGAATTATTAACTCAATGATACTAAAGTTAGTTCTATAATTGAACATCTTGACTTTGAATTTCATAACCAAAAACAACATAAAATAATTGATTATAACATATCGTCTTTGTTCTTTATACATGTGTCACGTCTTTGTTCTTTATACATGTGTCACGGGTCGAAACTTCTGGTGCTAAAGGAAATTAGGATGACAACAAATTTTTTCCTTTCTCTCAATTACGGGTATCGAATCTTTACTGCCAACTTCTTAATCTAAAGATAGAACTGGCTTACTAGGCATTAGGACAAAACTTAAATGGACATCTTATAAAAAACAATCTTCATTTCTTTCACATGATTCCATCGATAAAATCGGTAATTCATATATATGTTTCCTATTTATTTCATGTAAAATACAAAAATAATAATGTCTCAATTTGTATAAACATACTAAATCCAAAACACTTTTTTTTTTGTTTGGAATTATTTTCCTGTCAGAACAAAATTTTCATTTTCATTTTTTTATTTTATGGGGTGGCTACCTTACCATGGATGCAGGGATGTTAGGTAAAAGTTCGAAGTAATCATACTTAATCGAATACTAGTTGACGAGTGATTGATTTCTCAGAATTCTCCATATTACTACCAAATGTTTACTCAGTGCATTATGATTTCCGAACAAGCATGTAACCAGCTAAAACAGAGAGGAGGAGGAAGAAAACAGCAGCAATGAAGTTGACATTGGTTGAATTGATGGTTTTCTGGCTGCTTTCTGTGCTGGTAATTTCTCTATTCTTTTCTTGGGAAGAGTTAGTTGCAGATGTGTAGGGGACTACTACATCCCAAAAAGATCCAGTGGTCACTCTGAGGGCTTCTTCTTCAGGTTCCAAGATTGTTGAGGCATCACTTGGAGCTTCCATGGACATCAACTCAACACAATGATCTTTTAGAACCTACCAGAGCATGTAAGCACTAAGTCAGAACAATCTCTAAACAAATGACAGTTTTGCTTACCCGAAAAAAAGACAGGATGAATACTTCATTTATTAAAGTTCGCACACCGAAATATGTTATCTCAGAATTCAACTTGATCTCCCAGAACATGGAGAGATAGAAAGTATTTGAGCAAAAATTAATAGGCGCGTGAACTAAGGGCCAAGAACTCATCTTCTAATGTTTTATTGGGAGAAACAGAAAATCACATCTTTTGCTTGCCAACTATCTGGAGTTATAATAATAATAATAATAATAATAATAAGACATACCTCAAGTGTCTCAGATGATTGTATATAGTCACTGATAAATGTACCCGCCAACCATGGAACAAAGACCCTCCCAGGTAACGAAAGATTGCAATTTTTCCTGTTTCAAATTGTTTAGCATGCAGCAGATATCATCAATGTTGCAAAAAAAGGGGGAATATATCAACTTTCATTATTTCAAGTTGTTAATCAGTAAAAGAAGGCTGAATTAACAGGTCTTCTATGAGGTGCAAGCTTGAAAATGGAGGAAAGAAAAACATGTATTAAGCAATTGAACATAGTGAACATGTAAGCATGAATACATAAAAGCATATGCTATTTTAAAAAAGTTACTTATGTACAAAAGAGGTAAATACGTTATATTTCTGCTTATGTAATCAATAATGCAGCCACAACGTAATCAAAATTTCAAATTTACTAGCATGAAGCCAACATAATAACAATGCACAGTGTTTCAGTGGAAGAAAGCCTGTAGCAGGGATCTAAACAATAGAAATAAAATAAAGACTTATAAACAACACAGCTAATGCACCTCAAGGAATTCAAAACAAGTTGGGAAACTGGCTTTTCAGATGATGAGTCATTGCTTGCTTCCCTAATTCCGTTGTCAGTTGGCCCTAGGTCTTCATCTGTTTCATCACAAATGATATCCAGCCTGCTTTGCAAACTCCTGATGATATCATCCTGATCACAGCCATATACAGTTGCATAAGACAAAAATATCAGACCCATGTCACTCAAGAGAATAAGACTGTTCATTTTTCTTGGATTGAGAACGTATAAATAACCTTTGAACATTAGCATTTCAAGAAAGTTCTCATTGCAATGTTGAAGGATTACAACAAGGTGGTCTTTGAGAAAGTAGGAAGTCATATAAATGAAGAGAGGCTGCACCTCAATAAAGACAAAGGGAAGACAAAAAAAATGCTAGGTCCTTGTTTAAAACGTATCAAATGAACTATGACATGTCAAATAAGATAAATAAACAAGCTAGATGAAATCATTTGCCCAAAATAAGTGCATATCCATAAACAAAATTTAAAACTGAGAGGCATGCTGACTTTAATTTAAAACAAAGGAGGCATAATGCTCAAAGAGACTCTTCTGACCAAAGTTTTAGGGGCAATATGTGTCTTTTGATGTGCAAGAGAACGTAGAAACCTAGAATCCCAGGGCGCATACGTGTATTGAAACAGGTCTAACTCAACTAAAATCAGAAAATTCCATATAATGAATTCCAAATTTTCTATTCCACACATCCATTTGGATAAACATTTGAAACATAATTAAGTTGGTCATTGTTTATATTCATCTAACATAGAGATGAAACATCTAATCCCATTTATTTCTCAGGACAGGTATTTCCAGCACTTGAAAGTTTAAATGTGAAAACAAGGCCAAGTTATAATATAAATCAAGAAATGAAGTCCAAATTAGAAGTAATGTGGTACCTTTATATCAGCAATAGCCTGTGAAATTGGTTCCTTAGAATTCAAGAACGCAAAGGAACATACAGAGCCTGTAAAATTGACAACGCCTACAACATCTTTCTGGCTGCATGCTTCACAAAATATAAACAAATTGCTAAATCTTAGAAAGTATAATTTAACAACAGTGAAAACAGAATCAAGTTCAAAATGTTCAAAATTGAAAAGGCCAGAGCACCTTCAATATATATATCTCTCATGAATGGTAGAAGCAGCTCAACTTCATGCAAACCATCTGTTGTGCATATCCCATCGTTAACAACCTAAACATATAAATAGGATCAGAACAAATTACTAGTAGAGAGCTGAAGGATTTATATAAAAATGTAAGGATACTAAACATTAATGAATAAGATGCTCTGAACTGCAAAGTAGATTAGAGTGATTCTCACCAGATTTCCGTCCATAATGGCTTTTGCACCTCGCAGCTCTTTTGCATAAATTGAAATTCCATTATGGAGAACATCACTAAGCGTCTGGGATTTTGATGTTTTCTCTTGATATATTGGCAATCTGGGAAACATAAATTTGTTAGAGAAATGATTAAAAACATTTTATTGATGCTAGAATTAGTCAGATGAAGAATGTCAACATATGTAGTGAGAGAACCAACAATGTGATAGAGAAACTAATTGCAATTTAAGTCTTGTTATATGGTAGCCGAATGCTTATTCTAAAGCCAAATAGAGCTTTCCAATGGTAAGGAGCTTTGACTAAGATGAAGTAGATGAATAGATTATACAAGTAACCTAAGATCAAAGTTATAAAAGCACTTAAAAGTTTGAAGGGAAGTTAAGACCCTTCCCATTTTGAAGTCACAAGGCCGTAAGCTGCTCGATGTTATATTTGAGGAGAGCTTACAATTTCGACATGTCCATCTGCAAAAAGTGTAATTTTCAAGTCAAAATGCAAATGAACTTAGCAAATGAGGAACACCAAACATCTATAACTAAAAACGATTATGGATCTAAAATCTTATAAATTACCTCCTTGGACTATAACATATGTGAATAAGCAATCTTTCATCAAGGTCATCCTCCGAAAATGATGCTGCTTCAGCAACTCCTTTCACAGTCTGCAAAAGCCATTCCATTATTTAGGATCATAAATTGGTGAAAACAAAGCTTTAATAAAATTTTCAAAAACAAAAACATGCCAAACTTTAATAAAATCTCCACATTGCCACGTCAGTTCACTGTTAGAGATCAGCGGCTGGGTGACAAAAAATTCACTTACTCAAACTCTAGTCACTAAATCGAAAAACTTCATACTTAGGGAACAATTTTAAAAACACGACCAAAGTTGACTAACCATTGATATATATTACCCTAAAATAAAATACCTGGCAAAGTACCATGGTAGAGTTCTTGAATGCGGCCTCACTAGCCCACACATAAATACCCACTACTTTCATTCCACCGACCATCATTCTTGACACCTTGATTCAACAACATTTACATAATTTAAGTATGAAAAGAATCCATATTCCATTCAATAATTCAAAAAAATAAAATAAAATAAAAGTACCTGGCGAGCATGTTCAGCGACCCAATCCTTGTCAATGACCAAAGAAGAGGAAGAATCAGATGTCCGAGATTTGGCTTTCGATCCCTTTTTCCTGTTGTCTTTAGCTGGCTCCAAAACCGAACAAGCTGGCTCTCCGGCATCGTTTTGAGGAGTTGGTACTAAATCGAACACGAAGCCTCGGTCGAGAATGGAGCTGAGCTTCCCTATCACCAGACCAACCTGCGGTTATCACCGGAAAAAAATGAATTACTATTAAAATTCAGAATTTATCGTATTTATCTTTGTAATTTTATTTAAATTTTTTATATGAACATAGAGTTGAAAGAAAAAAAAAAAATGGATTCGACCTGCGCGGGAAGTGAAGATTGGGAGAGACGATCCTCGGCTAGCTGGAGTTGGGTTTCCTCTCCTACCACAGCTTTCACCATGACTTTGACTTCACCAAACAACAGATCCAAGGACGTTGGATTTCAGTGCTGGTCCAGGGACACGTTACGTGAAGAAGAAATCATGAGAAATAAAAAACGGCGCCGTGCCGCCTCTAACATAAACGTGGGATAGAGGAGACAGGCCATGCGTTTCGTTATGGCCTTTTTCTAATTACAGATTTGGGTCGGCCTCGCTCCTCCCTTTCCGATTTATTTGGGTTGTTATGGGCTTGGAAAAACTGTTTCTTTCTGCTTTGAGAGTCCAACACTATTCTATTAAATGCTTTTTCAAAATAAATAAATAAATACAAGTAGTATTTATGTACAAATATTTGTGTCATTTATAAATAAAAAATAAAAACCTTTTCAAAAATAAATTAAACAAATCATGAGACTATTCATTGAGAATGCTTTCCCGTGTTTCACGGAATTTGACAAAATGAATAGTAACAAAAGATGTGAGAAATTATTTTATTATCATCACACGAGATTGAAGTAGAGTTTCGTTTTCATCTTTGTAAAAATTGGATATTCGTTCAGGAAACGCGAGCCGCCACGCCAATGTCTGCTGAATAAGTGAAGGCGACTCTTTTGACTTCAACTTTTGTTTTTGTCTCTCTTTTGAACAGTTGTGAAGGGCAGTGATCCCCACTAGCTTTAGAATTTGGCTCCACTCCTCCCTCGAGCCTAGCCACATGGAATAAAGGAATATTCGCTGGAGCCTTCGCCGCCGGGAATATTGTTAAAAGCCCAACAGTCCTGAGTTGGCCTCCGCCTTGCCATAAATATGAATTGTAGTTTAATTATTATAATTAAGATAAAATTAAATTAAAACAGATTTATCATCCAGCAATTAATTTTTAAAAAAAGCCGGTTCGGTTTGTTTAATCAAATTCAAATTACAAAAAAACCACAGGAGCCTCTTGAGTAAGGGTCTACCAAAGAAGTGGTTTTGTTTTTTTAAGTAAAATATAAATTTAATTAAAAAATATATAGTTTAAGAGATTGTTTTTATTTTATTTTATTTTTAATCGGTGGAGCTTGGTCATTTGAAACGTTTAAGATAAAGGGGTTAAAACGGAGTGAAGCGCTAGCCGGTAGGTTGGCAATTGGCTGATGGAATATAAAAGAATATTCCTCTAACATGACTAAATTAGGCTTGTCCCGTCAATTAGTTGCAATTTACTAGTAAAGGTATCTATGAGTTGGGTCGAATTGATAAGATCGGATCACTTTTTTGAAGATTTTATTTAAGGGGCAGCTTGATTTATCAGATTTATGAAGTAAAATTATTAATATTGTATCACATAATATTTTAATTTAAAAAATATATATTTTAATATCAATTATTTAGATATATATATATGTTTACATCAATTATTTAAATATTTTATATTTTATATTTATTTAAAATAAATATATTTATAAATATACATTAATTTATATATAATAATATTATTAATAATATGCAAAATAAATACACAATATTTTAAATTTTCAAATAAATAAATTTTAAAAATAATAAATAATATTATCAAAATTTTATGATATTTTAAATATTTAATTTGATCATATGATATTTAAATAAATATTTTTTATCAAAAATATATTAAAATAAAAATAAAGAAATGAAAAGTAAATTAATTCAATTTTAGGATTTTTAAATTTTAAAGATGGAGTACAATTAATTTTTTTAAAAGAAATTGAAATACTTATAATTTTTTATTTGAAAAAATAAAATGTTAAAAAATGTTATAGTAAAATTTTAAAAAATTTAACTTTTAAGAGTTATTTTATTCATAAATTTTATTTTTATTAAATTAAATATAATTAAATAACAAAAAATAAATTATAAATTATATTTTACATTCACATATCAATCAAAATAAATTATTTCATCAATATTATACAATACTAAATTTGATATTAAAAATTATTTTTAATTATATCTTATTTTATTATAATTAAAACATATGGAATAATATGATCAATATCAAAATGAAATTAATGATAATGATAAAAGATTCAAATTTTAAAAATTAAATTAAATTATGATATTTTAATATTTTTAAATTATATTTTTATTAATAATTTATAATATTTGATAAGGTCGAATTGAATTCGAAATTCATCATAAAGTTTAACTTAAGTCCAGTCAGGCCCACAAAATGGGCTGAGTAGCCAGACTTGTAGCCATGTCTATTTAGCTACGGATGATGACAAACGTTTCTTTTTTTTTTTTTTTTATAAGAATCCAAAACAGAGGACCACAACACACAATGAGGGTGCAGGAGTTCTAGCTAAATGATTAATTTGGCTATTATTTTTAAATGAAACACTCTTTTAATTCCCATAATCATTTTTTTTCGTAATCTCAAATATATACATATAAATAAATTACAATGGTGCACAATAAAAAAATTTTCCAATTCAATAAGAAAAAAAAAGAATAAAAATCAAACTTTAATTTAAATTTTTTTCGAGTCACTTGCATTAATTCAAATGATAAAAAAAGGAGTTTTATTTTTTTTCATTTAACATAAAGTTTTAAATCTTTAAATACACTAAATTTATAAGATTCATTTGATAATGAGATACAAAACCCCCCCACCATACAACAACTATTTTTTAAAAATTTATTTATAAAACAATATCACTATGTATTAAAAATCTCTCTCTCGTTTTACTGTCAAGTAAATTTTTAACATTATCTTTAGTTTCCAAAGAAAAATCATGCTATTGTCCGATTATTATGTACTTTACCAAATTAAAATAAAAATAATTCGTGCTTAAAATTTCGTCTCCATATGATAAGTTCAAAATTTTTTAAATCAAAACTCAATTTAAGAATTTTTTTATAATGTCGGAATCAAGTTTTAAATAGTATGGTCTTAATTTGAATATATATAAATAATAATTTATTTAAAAGATTAATTTAATAAAAATATTATATTTTTATAATTAAAAATAAATAATATTTACAAAATTTATAAAATATTATATTAAATTAAAATTATTTAATTAATTTTAAATCAAATCAATTGCAATTTATGAATATACAAATTAAATATATAAAAAAAATAATATTTTAATATTAAATCAAATTCAAAAATAAATATTAAAAAATTAAATCAGACGAAAATTCGTCCCAATCGTCCCTAAATACAACCAATGTATGCTTGAAAAAGAAGACATTTTAAACTTTTTCGCTATTGGCAACCTCATAATTGAATAATTTAGATTTACCAATTAATAAATATTTTTAATCCTTTTTTTAAAAGAGAAAAGCATTTGCTTTAACGCTTCTCAATTATTTCCCTTCTCAATCAATCCATCAGCTCTAACCTTGTCCACCACGCCAACATCGCTCGTAAGCATAACAAAACCTCGAGTCTCCGCCGTTTTTCATTCTCTCAATGGAACCCTAAGGCTAACACCTCAAAAACCTCCCAAAAATCCTCCGATGGAAAACTTTTCCTACTCCTCTTATCCGGAATCCGGCGACTCTTCGCCTCGTTCTCGAGAAATTGACTGCGAAAACCAGTCATGGGACGAGCCGCCATCAACTAATACTAATAATAATGCTAATTATAAGGTTAAGTTTATGTGCAGTTATGGGGGCAAAATCCTGCCGCGTTCACACGATAACCAGCTCGCGTATGTCGGTGGAGATACGAAGATCCTGGCCGTGGATCGCAACATCAAGTTCTCTGCTCTCATGGCTAAGTTATCTTCGCTGTACGCTGGAGATTCTGAGTTTTGTTTCAAGTATCAACTTCCTGGTGAAGATCTTGACGCTTTGATTTCTGTTACGAATGATGAAGATCTCGAGCACATGATGTTAGAATACGACCGGTTGCATCGTGCCTCTGCGAAACCGGCCAGGTTGAGGCTGTTTTTGTTCCCGATAAATCCACCGCTGGTGGCGTCGGGGTTTGATGGGAGTGAACCGAAGTCGGAGCAGCAATGGTTCGTTGACGCCTTGAATTCGGTGCAGATTCAGAATCTGGATGGCTCTTCGCCGCGCGCTGCGGCGGTGCCGACGGAGAATCCCGATTTTCTATTCGGTTTGGATAAGGTGAAGTTGCCGGATTCGGTCCCTGCGCCGGTGGCGGCGGTTGTAAAAGAGGTGGTTGCGAAGGATGTGACGGCGGGATCGGATTGCGGATCGGAGGATCGGCACGTGATTGCAGACCCGTTGGTGTCTCCGGCAGAGATCCAGAGGCAGATCCAGGAATTGCAGAGGATGCAAATTGCTGCTACTCAAGAACAAGGCATTTTATACAGGAAAATCGATGAATCCAATCCTAGAGCTCACAGTACTCAAGATTATTATAAAATGTCAGATAAAATCGCCGCGTCACCAGCTCCAGGATCAGCTCCGTTGCGAATGCCGATGCCACAGGCATATTTCCCGGACCAGCATTTAACTACCGCTGCTTATCCAGTACCCGCGGCCACTGCAGTAGCCCCAGGAACTGATCAACCAGTTTACATAATTCCATCTCCCGCCGCTGGCGTTTATCAACAGCCTCCAACATTGCGACAAGTGACTGTACCATTTGGTCAACCTTACTACGGGGTGCAGCGGGTGGTTCAGGATGTTTACCGGGAGCAACCAGTTTACAATGCGGTGCCAACCACAAATGTTGGGGCTTACCCTGAGGGAATCTCAGTTATGCAGCCGAACGGTGGGGTTCCTGAGTCAGGGTATTTACAGGTGGCTTATGATGGGGCTGGAAGGCAGGTGTATTACACAACAGCTCCATATCAGGCGATGGCTCCGGCGGCGGCGGCGGGTGGTGTTGCACCGTTGAATCAGGATGGTAAGCTTGCCGTGAATGCTAAGGCTCCACCCCAAACTTCTTCTGTGTGATTTAAATTAAAAATATGATATTAGTTGGTTATTAAGTTATAAACATCGTATGGTACTTTGAATAAGAATGAGGACTTTTATAGGTTTTGATCAATTTTTAGGGTGGTGTTACTTTTGACATTGTTTTATGTGAATAAGAAAGGGATTTTGGTAATGTCTGTAAATTTGTTGATTACCTGATTAGTTTATTGAAACTGGGCGAGCTTTGTGGGTTATAGAATTCTTAAACCCTGCTAAAAGTAATAAAAAAATTTATTTTACTACATCTTAGGTTAGTATTCCAATGTTGACTGATTTTTAGGGAGAGAATTGCTGCTGCTGCTGCTGCTGGATATTGTCTGATCTTGGGGTTACCGTTTTATGTTGATTGTTGGCCCATGTTACTTTGGGATCTTCAGAACTTCCAGAAATTGCATACTTTTGGCTTGGCTTCGACATATCCTGCAATTGGCGTATTTGGGTGCCATATTTGTAACTTTAGTTAGTCTATTTCTTTAGACATCCAAGTCAAGTTGCCAGGAGCATCGAAACTGATTTTGCTTTTACTTCAATATGACATCCTACAGCCATTCTGGCAATTTTCACATTTTTTCCCTTCTAGAATGAAATGATAACAGGGGTCCATATGCACATTTAAAATGCTATTGTCTGACTTTATTTTTTTAGCTTTATCCTGCAATTTGTCCCACCCAAGGAGTCCATGTACACATTTGAAATGCCTCAGCAGCAGAAATGACTGAGTGGCATTATATTTAATGGAAATGAGCTGATCAGAAGTTATTTGAATGCAAAGAAGGAAAAACAAAAATGGAGAAATTTCATCTGGAATTTTTTGCTCAGGTCCCTTGCATCACAACTCTTTTTTTTTTTTTTTTTCTACTTTTACACGGTAATATGGCAACCATATACAGCATAGAAGTAAAGGTATGCTGTATGTGAATGGTTTATACGGCAGCAACTGAGTTTTTAAGCCAAATGTTGTTAACAGGTAATTGTGAGTGTCTCTCACTTTGGGTCACATTTTTTGTCATTTGTGAGTTGTGACGTAATCAATACCTGCACTCCCCTCAAGCACCACCACCACCACCACCACCAGAAAAGCCCCCTCTACAGTTACCTCCGCAGCTTCCTTCACAACTACCTCCGCAGCCACCACACCTCCCATGCCGGCTACTCCTAGCCAGATCTTCATGGTCACTTCCACACCTTCCTCCCCAGGACAGGCATTACTTCCAACACTAAAGGGATTCAGATCACCGTCCAAATCTGCCGTGGCTGCTGATTTTTGCAACACGAGCTACCACATCCACTGCGGCGACAGTAGCCGAATCCAGTTCACCTATGCACTCTCCGCATTTAGTATTTTGCACGATTTCTCCATCATTCTAATCTCCTTGTAGTTTCATTGTTCATTTTGTGAAGTACTTGAGCACTTTCTGCACCAACATCATTAACATCGTTCACTTTGTCCATCGTAGGTTAGCACTCTTTTCTTCATGATTGCAGCTTTTCCCACAGTTTTTCAAATCATCGTCCATTTCTCTTAAATTTTCTACAATGGCAGTAACACCAACGTGCCCTCCTTGCTTGAACTTTCAGAAATAACAAAATCCAATACAATCATGGGCAGTACCAGCGGTTCTTCATTGATCTGTTTGCGAAGATTAAAATTCAGTGATAAGTAAGGGCAATTATACCTCTACAATGCCAAACTTAAAAGTTGAGCAAAGCTACAGCTTTTCCACAAGGATCTTTCTTGGTGAACTCTACAGCTATCACAAAGTGCTGTTCATTTTTCCGCCTCTTGCTGTTACTGATTTCATACCCCCTAGTTTTCTTCCTCGAAAAGCAATCACCTGAAGCCAGAATATATGGATAAAAAATTAGGCTTTTGAAGATGAAGAAACTAATCATGCTTACTTAAGAATTATTGAATCTTGCATAATGCCTTGGGTATTTGCAGAGCCATTGCCATTTCCGGAGTAACTTCTTAGATACTCACCTTTCGGCTTCCTTTAAACCCAAGTGCTTGGATTTTAACGTTAAATATATATATATATATATATATATATATTAATGTTAGGCTGTTAAACCCAAATCAGGTTTTACAGAAAAAAATAAAAATAAAAATTATTCCTTAATTTAAAATCAAACTAGTTCAATCTTAACAGTTAACACCTTTACTTCACTGAAATGATAAGATACAATAATTGGAAAAAAGCTCAAATTTCATTTGAAGCAAGTTCGGGATTGAAGGTTGCAAATTAAATTAGACAAGATTAATAAAAATTTAATATATCAGTAATTCATCCAATAACTTGATGAAAAGAATCTCCATAGATAGATCGATCATAAAACGACATTATCAGTTTATCACACCAACAAATGAAACCTAAACGAGTATAAAGAACAAATCATGATAAGTAAATCCATGTATCACAAGTAAGATTTACCAATAATATATAAAAATAATTTTTGTGTGAAAAAGTTTGAATTTTGAAGGAAAGTTCAATAACTACCTGGAAATGGAATTTCTATTTATAGAAAAAGAAAAAGGAAAAAGGAAAGTCCCTCCATTTTTCTAAAACTAAAATTTAGAAAGAAAGATTTACCATGTTAGAAAGGAGTAGTCAAGACAGGGGCAAACCGACCGCCGCTAAACCCAAAATCCAAAATTTCTAAGACTAAAATTTACTCTTTTCTTTTCTTCCCTTTAGAAAACCCTACCAACATTTTATAGCCCTTCATTTTGTTTTTGTTTTTTTACAGAGAATTTTATTTCTTCTTCTTAAAATTCTAAATTCCACTTTTTTTTTCCATTTTTTTCTTTTTCTCCTGCTTTTTTTTTGCTGTATAATGTGCTTATTTATTAGTATTTAGCAATTTTAAAATCCAAAAAAGCTAAAATATTCTCACTAACGCATTGATTGAGCTTTGGTTGAGAATATCTGTTTCTTCTACATCCAAAGCTCTTTCCTTTACCATTTTTTTTCTCTCTTTTTGGTGAGAGAGAAAGTGGAATGCTAAGACTGAGAAAATCGGAAGGAAATTAGCGATGGTGGTGAGAAAAGTAGGGAAGTATGAGATTGGAAGAACAATCGGAGAAGGAACCTTCGCCAAGGTTAAGTTCGCGCAAAACACGGAGACCGGCGAAAGTGTTGCCATGAAAGTCCTCGATCGCAGCACCATTATCAAACACAAAATGGTCGATCAGGTCAATTTTCCACTTTTTCATTTCACTGACATGAAATTTTGATAATTTCAGGAGAAAGTTGTGGAATTTATAATGAAAGAGTAGTTTTTGTGGGTCTCCTCTGTATGTAGTTTTACTGAATTAAAGGTGGATTTGATAAATTTTCATTGTTTGAATTCTAGTGTCACAGTTCTCTGGTCTAATAATTAAGCTTTAGTATGATTTGCAAGTTTGCACTCTTATTCCAGTTAATCATGAGTTTAATTTTCCTTGTTATGTTTATCAATTAATGCAGATCAAAAGGGAGATATCTATAATGAAGCTTGTTAGACATCCTTATGTTGTTCGTTTGCACGAGGCAAGTAATTTAGTAGTATTATTAGAGTATTAAATTTCGTATTTCGGAGGATTGGCTTGTTTCTAACAATGCAAATTTTGTATTTGTTAGGTCATAGCAAGTCGAACTAAGATTTATATAATCTTGGAGTTTATTACTGGTGGTGAATTGTTTGATAAAATAGTAAGCATCCTGAAACCTATTTTGATAGTACCATCAGGTTTTTGTTTTTTGCTAGTATTAAATGCGGATGGTAATCATGTAGGTTCATAATGGTCGTCTTAGTGAAGCGGAAGCTAGAAGATTCTTCCAACAGCTTATTGATGGTGTGGAATATTGCCATAGTAAGGGAGTCTACCACAGAGATTTGAAGGTGTTCCTTTTGTTAGCATCTGGAGTGTTATTTTTCTTTGTTTGGTTTCATAAATTCTGACAATTGTTTCCTTCTATATACAGCCCGAAAATCTTTTACTTGATTCCGAAGGAAATTTAAAGATTTCAGATTTTGGCCTTAGTGCGCTGCCAGAACAAGTAAGAAATTTAAGTGAAGAGTGGACTCCTTTTTTTGCATTCCTCCTTGACATTAAAATAGTTTGATGGAAGTATAATGACTCGGGTTGTTATTTGGTGATATCTATGTTTAGGGAGGTAGCCTCCTCAGGACAACATGTGGGACTCCTAACTATGTGGCACCAGAGGTAATCCTAAGAGTATTCAGCTTTTGCATTGAATATAACTTAATTTAATTGTTTATTTTCTGCTGTTGCCATGCTTCTTAAATCAACATTTCATTTCTGTTATAGGTTCTCAGTCACAAAGGGTATGATGGTGCTGTGGCAGATGTTTGGTCTTGTGGGGTCATCCTTTATGTTTTGATGGCAGGTTATCTTCCATTCGATGAGCTTGATCTCACCACTCTATACAGTAAGGTATGAACTTTTGTCACGTGTACTAGTTATGATTATTGTGTTTATCCTTCTGGATTCAGGACATATATGCCAAAAAACTTAAATATGGATGAAGGAGAAACTTTCATTTTGACATTATCAGTACTGCATAACTGTTGGTTTATTTATTTATTTTTTTTAAATCTGCAGATTGAGAGAGCTGAGTTTTCTTGCCCTTCTTGGTTTCCTGTGGGAGCAAAATCCTTGATTCATAGAATTCTAGACCCAAATCCTCAAACTGTAAGTACTTGTTGTCCCACAATTTTTAAATCCCTGGGCTGCATGACTATTACAATGAGTAATAACGTCATAGAAACTGATGGTGTGGATTCAAGTTATATGATGAAATGATGTCTAGGTATCCTGGAATGCACCCTAAAACAGACCAACCTAAATACCTAATCTAGTAGAAGTTAAGATAAAAGTATATAACCTAATTAACCGCAAGAATACTATAACCTTTTTGATGGCTTAAAGGAGCCATTATTTATTTGATGCTAGTTGTTCTGATAGCCGTCATGCAGACTACCATAAAGACATGTTTTCTATATTGATTGCCTTGATTCTTTACTTTGCATAACTTATACCCAGTACAACCATGAAGGATTGTGGTTTCGTATTTGAAACTAAATGCATCTGTTCCTACCACTATATGGTATTCCTTTTATATAAGTTTTTCAGTAAATTTAATAATGGTTATAATATAGTTTTTGTTTCTGCTTGATTGTAAGAAATCTTTTTCTCCCAATTCTGTACAGCGTATCACAATTGAGCAAATCAGGAGCAATGAGTGGTTTAAGAAGAGCTTTGTTCCTGTCAAACTTCTTGAGTATGAAGATATTAACTTGGATGATGTAAATGCTGTTTTTGATGATCCTGGGGTTGATAAGGTATTTAAAGCTTTAATATGCTGTAAAAGTGTAATTTGTTTTTTCCAATAAATAACTTAAACCAAGTTTCCATGCATGTCTTTAAATTGGGTTTTGTTTGTTTGAATGCACCATTGTGATTAATTTCTAACTCTCATTTTTTAATAATATACTGTAGGAAGAAAGGGGTAATGAGCCATCAGGAAATGAGGATATGGGTCCTCTGACTCTTAATGCATTTGACTTGTTTATTCTTTCTCAAGGCTTGAACCTTGCGACGCTTTTTGACCGCGGGAAGGTAGAGTTCTTTAATAAATTGTTTATATGCAGTCCTACCACTGGTGACCAGTTTTGAAGGAATTATGTGCTTTATGGTTTTTCAATCAAACAGTATGGTTAGAAATGCTGCCAGCTTTTCTTTGCTTTTTGATGTCTAATGCGATCTATTTATGAGCATTAGGTTCACTTGGCAGTCATCTCAGGAAATCATTTATGGCAATTTCTCAATATCTTGCCTTCAGGATATGTATCCTTAAGGCAGTCCAACATATGTTTTTTCCTTCTAAATTCTAATATTAAGCTCCCTGTCAGGACTCCATGAAGTATGAGACACGATTTGTCTCACAGAAGCCAGCAAAGGTTGTTCTGTCTAGCATGGAAGTTGTTGCTCAATCAATGGGCTATAAGACACACATTCGCAATTATAAGGTAGACGACTCAGGCTACTAGCCATTGCTTTTATCACATTTCGTTCTTTATTTCAATTTACATTTAGCTATTTTTCCAGTCCTAGTACTAAACAACTTTCTCTTGTTCCTTCATAACTGTTTCATTCTCAATGTTTACCAAGTATTTCATCAGTTTGACTGGAGAATAATATTGCCATTTGTATTTCCGTAGTCATCTAAGCTTTGATTATGTGGTAATTTTCAGATGAGAGTTGAAGGTCTTTCAGCTAATAAGACTTCTCATTTTTCAGTTATTCTCGAAGTAGGTTTTTGTTCTCAATTCTTGGTGAATTCCACATTAGACTTTAAATTTAATCTACTAATTTCCTTTCCCTTTCCCCCTCTGATTGTTCTCAAATCGAAGGTTTTCAAGGTTGCTCCCACATTTTTTATGGTAGATATTCAAAAAGCTGCTGGTGATGCTGCAGAATATCTCAAGGTTAGTTACCTTGATTCAGTCACGTGTCAGGTTTGTTTGGTCAAGTAATCTACTTCTGACGTTTTTTATCGACATGGATACTCGGGATAGCCTTCCCTCAATGCCCAGCCCTCTTGAATAGAATCCTCTCCCTCTCTATGTTTTCTTTAGTTTTTGGATTTTGACATAAACCGTGCATCTTTGTCTCACAGTTTTACAAGACATTTTGTGGCAACCTGGAGGACATCATATGGAAACCTCCTAATGAATCAAGCAAATCAAGGATCACTAAATCTAAGAGTAAAAGGCGTTAATCTGTTGCCGCATAACATTGCCAATATTTTCAGACGAGTAGGATTACAACCTCGAGGACTGTGTTACGGCGTACCTAACCTCGCATTATGTTCTTTCCCCAATTCCTCTGCTTCCCCAAAGAATAGGAATTATTTATTTCGACTTCTTTTATTTTTTGTATTGTTAGTGTTTATAAAGCTCTCTTTGTTTTGAACCATAATTTGTTTCCTTAATGCTATATGTTGTAATCATGCCAGTGCCAAGTACCTGATATTTTATGAGATCAAATGAAGACTAATTTCAGTTATTGGCATTTTACTATTGTCTTTAAATTGATCGATAAAAATGTTCCAGAGGGAGAGCCCGACCATCATATTCCTCAGCTCCAGTGCTCAGCCTAGCATTCTCATTCCACTCGAAGATTTTCGTATGACTTGATGTATGATCCCGTCCCCTGTTTGTGTTAAGGAGCTCCACTCTTTCCAATGGGCATTTTTTTTTTTGGGGGGGGGGGGGGGGCTGCTAGGGAGTAAGGATTAATTTTGACATTGTCGGTGACATTAATTCAGCCTGGATCAGAAAAAGGAATTGAATAATCAATCTTTCATAGAACATATTTTGCTACTGTATATTTGAGGCAAGAACTTCTTTCTGAAGTCAAATGCTCCAATAGGCCAAAATCAGAGCATTGACATGGACCTCAGCTCGAGCAACTTTTCAAGCATAAAAAAGTGGGGGAAAGAAAGAATGATGGAAACCTGCCATACTCCATAGTCCTCACAAGAACACCGCCCATTAACAAATTCATGGAGCCGCTGGCTACCTCGAATGATGATTTCCCTTTCATTAAGTGAGGAGATGGCCTTCATAAAATTATGGCAACCCCTGCACATCCTAATGTTCTTGATAATTCGTATTGGTGCAGCATCTGGTATGATCAAAAGGCCAACGCAGCAGCCAACTTTTCGCTATGTTGACCAGTGGAAGAGGATGTTTCTCCTCATCATCTTCACCAACTAGGTCCCAAAAAAATTAACATTAGCTCAAAATGAAGAAAAAAACGTCCATGATTCATTCACCCCCCCCAAATTTGCAGGATCCAACCCAAAGGCCTCTAGTGCACGCTTTTAACACAAGGACCCAGCCATGTCAATATACCTGATCAAATAAGAATTAACAAGATTAGACATTCACCTCACACTACTAAGAATTTGTACTAAAAAGTAAAATCCCATATACCATATATAACAAATCTAAGTTTCCAATTCCATTCCCGAAAAATTACAATCAGTCTGAAATCAAATTTTGAGGACCTCATATCCATTTTCTAATTGATATTAGCAGTGAAACAAAATCGATAATATACAAAAGCAAAGTAGATTGTCTTACTCATTTCCTCCATAGAATCTAGCACCAGGCTATCCTTCACTGTATTTATTGGTCATGACAGAGCCTACAGGTTGCATCACTGAGCCGGACGTAAAATTCTCGGATGGTACAAGTTATTGTCCCTATTACTCAATAAAAGCAACAACAAAAATTTTTCTTGATCTCTCAATCAGGTAATAACTAACTAAACTTACAGAAAATGAAAATTATTTTGTTCTTTTCCAATGGATCAAATACCGATAGATTATAAAATTAAAATCAGAAGTGCGAAAAATGCTTGTCATTTGAATTGATTAAATACCTTCCATTGCCTGGCTTTCTTGAGTTCGATAATGTCAGCAATTTCAGGATCGATTTCCCCAAGTGGAGCATTCACTGATGTATTCACTGCAACATCAAACGCGTTTTTTTTTTTTTTTTCTATTAGCATAAATCACAGTTCAAGATTAAGGATCTAAACCTTCATTGAAAACAATAATAAGGCTTACGTTAGTGGGAGCTTTCTCTTTCTGTGCCGCAGCTGTCGACTGCAAATAAAAAATAAAACAAAAAAAGAGACAAATTTTAATATTAGAAGCAATGAAACAAAAAAAAAAGAAGTTTAGATTTTGGACCACGTAAAAGAGGGAGCTGCCATTGAAAAGAAGTCTGATTGGAGACTTGATGGGGGAAGAGAGTCTTTGAAGGCTCATCGCCATCGCCATTACTTGCGTTTCGAAACTCCGAAGCGTTTCGCTTGTTAACCAAAAAAGCAACAATGGAATGTCTCTGACCCCGAGGCTGGGAGTGGGTCGGTGGAGGACTGAGAAATGTGGGCTTTCACTGCAGACCACCTGTCCAGATCCGGCGACATGCGATACGAAAAAAATTTTGACTATAATTATATATGGGATTATAAAATAAAAAATATATTTTTTATATTTTTGTATATTATTATAATACGTAGTTTTTAATATAAATATAATATAAATATATACATTTTAATATTTTACGGGAATCGTGAGATCCAATCAAAGGCAGAAGTTGGTTTGGGGTTGATTTTGGTTTTGCGGTGTAACGTCAATCGCTGAAACTGCCGTGTAATCATTTTTTTTATTAAGAAAATTTTGAAATAAATAAATTATTTAAATCAAGATAAGTGTATCATATTTGATAATTTAAAATAAATGATCATAAATATTTGAGATTATTTTAATAAATGATCACTAACAAAATTTAAATTTAAAATTTTTTTATAAAAAAAGATAAATTTAATCATTTGAATCAATCACTTATAAATTTCATGTAATCTGGCCGGGCAGGTGACTCGTCGTTTGAAATTTAAAATGGTAAGGGCGGAACCGGATCAGCCAAGCCTAGCCCATTACAATAGGAAATTGGTTTGGGAGGACCCAAACCTCTAGACCTGACTCCAGATTAGGTCGAACTGGACCAACCAATCATAGTCGGCTAAGGTGGGCATTAGTTTGGATAGAAGACTAAATTTAAAACGCCAAGCCCAATATTAACTGGATTTGACATGCATCTTCGGTTCAAATAAATCATGACTATAATCGTCTTTTTCTGTATTTAACTTATAATTTAGTAAGCTAAAAATAACAATTGAAAAGTGGTTTTAATCTAAGTTTATTTCAATTGATTTGTATGATTATTTTTAAAAAATATACAGCTACGAGTTCTTTCTTTATCTTTAAATTTTAATAGTTTATTAAAAACAAAAGTCTTTTTTTTTTTAACAAGGCACTTGCTAATAACTACACTAATTAACATAAGGCATTTTTATAGTAATTTCTCATATACACTATCTTTCTATATTTTTCATAGCATAAATTTTGTAGCATAGCAATTTCATTCCCCAACAATCATACGCACATGCTTTTGTTTTGTTTTATTCTTTAATATGATGCAGATTTGATTGAATTGTGTTTAATTTAAAATTATTGAACCAAATAAGGTGAAGTGAAAAATCAGTCACGATTGAACAAAAATTGAAAATGATATCGTAAAAATAAAATTAAAAAATTTTAAGGGATGGTGCAAAGTTCATATTTGGATTGATTAATCAAAATGATCTCATTAATCCAGGAAAAAAAAAATTCAAAGGTGCCCACATTCTGGCCAAGAGGATTTTGTTTGTATTTTAATTTTTAACCTTTTCCTAATGTAATTTTTGGAAACTATAGAATCTTTAGCCGTTTGTTATAAGTCAGGCAATGCATATTTGGCATGCCGTCCCACAACTAGTGATGATAACGAGTCGAATCGGGGTGAGTTTTTGTTCGTTTCAAATTCGATCTAATTTTAAACATATAAAATTCGTATCCGATTCGATAAATTTTTTTATTTTTGATATTCGAATTCGATCCGATACGATATTATATAAAATTGAATCCGATCCCACTCGATCTCAAATTTAATAAAATATTATTTTTTAATATAAATATAAAATTAAATATATATAAAATATATATAATTAAATAAATAATTTTTTATATATATTGAATCGAGTTTACCTAAAACTCGACTCCGATCAAAACCCAAAATTTTTTTATACCATCTAATTCTACCCAACCTAATACCCAATTAAAAAAAAAAATCTTAAAAAATTGAATCAAATCAAAATTCATTAATTTAGAATATTTTTACTTTCTCTACCCACAACGCAACGCTACATTGAAAACGACCACCCTTTTGTTGGAATCTTCGATTTATTTCCAAACTGATGGAACCCCTTTGAATTTAACCATTTTGTTTTGTACCTTTGCAATTATTGAAGAAGACAATTTTGCCTTCGTGATAGGAAATTACTCTTAAAAAAATGTAAAGCTGATTTTGTACGGCTGCCCAAAAATGATATAATATTTTATTTTGTATAAAATTTTAAAAATTTTGTTAAATTTTAATTTAGAGATAATGTGTAAAATTTAAAAGTAAATAAATTATTTAGACTCTCATATCAATATAAGATATGTTGTATTTGATAATTTAAAATAAATAATTATAAATCATACATTTAAAATGATTATAATAAGTAATTATCAATAAAATTTAAATTTAAAATTTTTTATAAAAAAAAACAGACCTAACCAATTAAATCAATCACTTATTGATAAATTTTAATTTTTATTAATTATAATTTTTTTCTCAAATTACCTCTGCTATAAAAAGAGAGATGATATACATTTACGTATTTAAAAGTAATAAAAGAAAAAAAAAACATATTAACGTATGTAATATACATTTAGGAACTCACATAATAAATATTTTAGTATTTTTATTTAATCTTTATAATGAAAACAAATATATGTGTATTATTTGACTAAATATTTTAATACATGTAATATTGTCTTCTTTTTTTTTTAATCACTAATGGACGATGACTGCAGATATAAAAATTGCAGCAAAAACATTGAGTTAGAAGTGACATTGATGTGTTAAATAAGAAGCAGCATTGTAGCTAAGACTCCATAATTTTTCTTTGGTTTGATTAGTCTCTCTCTATGGGAACCATTGAAATAGAAGCAAGACCAAAACTAGATGAGAAAGTAATCAAAGAGCAGACTATGATCGACGAAGGCGAGCTCTCCCCGATTGAAGAAGTTCGTCTAACAGTGCCTAATACCGATGACCCTTCACTCCCAGTATGGACTTTCCGGATGTGGTTCCTGGGTCTCTTCTCTTGTGCGCTTCTGTCATTCCTGAACCAGTTCTTCGGCTACCGATCGGAACCGCTCGTCATCACCCAAATAACTGTCCAGGTTGCGACCCTCCCCATCGGAAGGTTCATGGCTTCTGTACTTCCTACGACTAAGTTTCGTATCCCTGGATATGGTTCAAGGGAGTTCTCGCTTAACCCGGGACCTTTTAACATGAAGGAGCACGTTTTGATTACCATATTTGCTAACGCTGGGAGTGCTTTTGGGGACGGTACTGCTTATGCTGTTGGCATTGTCACCATTATCAAAGCATTTTATGAGAGGAGTATCTCTTTCTTGGCTGGTTGGCTTCTTATCATTACTACACAGGTTGCTTTACTCTTCTTTTAGCCTTCAAAGTTTGTGTTAATGAGGTCTGGTAACAGTTTTGAAAGAAGGGGCTGAGACAGATGCCGATCCACAAGTTTTTTTTAGGTGTCTACTTTAATATATAAAAAATTACCAACAAATTTACTAATTTTGTATAGGAAAAGGATGTTTAGAAAAAAATTTTTGAAACATTCGAAAAAAATTTTCCTTCAAATTTTTTTTATTTTACAATTTAAAATGTTCAGAAAAAATTTCGGAGCTTTTTAGAAAAATTTTTCTCTTCAAATTTTAGGATTTTACAAGTTTTTTGGGACTGTCCATAAATAAAGGGTGTGGGTGAGAGAATGAAATGAGAAGTTCTCAGGTTTAAATTAATTTCATTTTGTTGATGATATTTGGAGGGATGACTGGGTGCTTTGCTGGAACGTTGCTGGGATGTTTACTTGTAAGGCAAAGAACTGTCAGAGGACGTCGGATTTAAGACTTGGGAGCTCATTCTTATGGTCAATTCAGTCAACACGAAAGAGATAAAGAATGAAGGGAGGAAAACAAAGAACTGAGGAGTAAGTAGAAGGGTAGAATAATGTACCTAAGCTCCAACTTTACCTTTTACAGTGAGGGAATAATGCTTGAGTGTTGGCGATCAGGTCAAGTACTTGATGAGTGTTGACGGGTACTGATCTTGGCGGTCAGATGATTGTCTTTAGGGGTATAACACATTTGATTTGATTTATGTAATGGAGAAAAAGAACGAAGAGATATATATCTGAATCATTTTTCTTTTCAAAGTTTAGCTAGCAATCACAGTTTGTTTTGGGTTTGGTTTTTTTATTTTTGTTATTTTAATTAATTAGGTTCATTGGCATAAGGTGCGGTGTGTTGAGTGCAGGTTATGGGATATGGTTGGGCAGGGCTCCTGAGGAAGTATGTGGTTGAGCCGGCGCATATGTGGTGGCCCTCTACCCTTGTTCAAATTTCTCTCTTCAGGTAATTCAAGTTTTCAGAATTATATTCACAATTTGATAACATGCATTTTCTTGGTTTTTTTTTTTTTCTTTTGATATGTCATATACTTTCATTATTCAGTGAAACATTCATCAATGGTGAGAGTTCCATATAAACTAATGCTATAGATTGGCGATCCTGATGAATTTTACTGCTGATATTCCAGGACTTTGCATGAAAAGGAAGAAAATGATGGCAAGCGCCGCATATCACGAGTGAAATTCTTTATGATTGCCTTAGTTTGTAGCTTCTGCTGGTATGTGTTCCCAGGGTACCTCTTCCAAACCTTGCAAAGCATCTCCTTGGTGTGCTTGGCCTTCCCCCATTCAGTAACTGCCCACCAAATCGGCTCAGGCATGAGTGGTCTTGGCTTAGGGGCCTTTACACTTGACTGGACAACAGTAGCCTCCTTCTTGTTTAGCCCACTTATTTCTCCCTTCTTCGCCATTGTAAATGTCTTCCTAGGATATGCCTTGATGATTTATCTAGTGATACCAGTATCTTACTGGGGGCTAAACCTGTACAATGCAAAAACTTTTCCCCTACTTTCGACTGACTTGTTCACATCACAAGGTCAGTTGTATAACATTACAATGATTGTTAACGACAAATTCAAGCTAGATTTGCCACAATATGAGAAGTTAGGAAGGATCCATTTGAGCACTTTTTTCGCTCTCACCTATGGATTTGGGTTCGCCACTATTGCAGCCACAGTAACACATGTGGCTCTGTTCTATGGAAGGTAATTCGTTAGTACTATTTCAGAATGAAGATTCATTGTTCAAAATGCAGTTTTCAATTTATCATTTAATATCTACTACAGCAGCATCTTAAGTAAAGATGATCATGTTAATTACAGGGAAATTTATAGTAGATTCAAAGCTTCTTCGAGGGAAAAGGCCGATGTACACACTAGGTTGATGAAGAACTATAAGGACATACCTTCATGGTGGTTTTATTTGCTTCTTATAGTTTCAATTATTATTGGTCTTGCACTCTGCATCGTCCTTAAAAAGGATGTCCAAATGCCTTGGTGGGGACTGATATTTGCCGCTGTTTTTGCCTTCTTTTTCACCCTGCCTATCAGCATTATAACCGCCACTACAAATCAAGTAATTTAAGATGGAAATTTTGCTAAGCTATACTTTTTTAAATGTCCACTTATTTGTCTGTTGTGTTTACTTTAAGATCCTAATTGACAATGTTTATGTTTTCTTCCTGCAGTCACCAGGGCTAAATATCATTACAGAGTACATAATGGGAGCAATATTGCCTGGAGAACCAATAACCAATGTCTGTTTTAAGACCTATGGATTCATAAGTATGGCTCAGGCAGTTGCTTTTCTTAGTGATTTCAAGCTCGGCCATTACATGAAAATCCCTCCGAGATCTATGTTCCTGGTTCAGGTATTATAATTTATTGCTTTATACTTAAAAGTTAAATCTTGTTCTTAAGACTAGCTCATATTTATTTTTCTGCATCTACTTTCCATAATTCTCTTACATTGTTCCACTGTTGAATTTGCATATCAGTTCATTGGGACCGTTTTAGCAGGAACAATTAACCTTGGTGTGGCCTGGTGGCTTCTAACTTCTGTCGAACACATATGCCAGCGACATCTTCTACCAGCAAATAGTCCTTGGACATGCCCTGGAGACAGAGTCTTCTTTGATGCCTCTGTTATCTGGGGTTTGGTTGGACCTAAGCGAATTTTTGGCTCCCTCGGACAGTACTCAGCACTGAACTGGTTCTTCCTGGGAGGACTTTTGGGACCAGTTGTCGTATGGCTCTTGCACAAGGCGTTTCCCAGTCAGACTTGGATTCCCCTTGTCAATCTGCCAGTGCTTTTAGGAGCAACTGGCATACCACCAGCATCACCAGTGAACTATACTTCCTGGATTTTGGTTGGAACTATCTTCAACTTCTTCGTCTTCAGGTATCGAAAGCAGTGGTGGCAAAGGTATAACTACATTCTCTCAGCAGCACTGGATGCAGGAGTAGCATTCATGACAATCCTACTTTACTTTGCATTGGGCATTGAGAATAAGAGTGTGAACTGGTGGGGTGCCAGTCCTCATAATTTTCCAGAGCATTGTGATCTAGCAACTTGCCCCACTGCAAAGGGGATATCAGTAGATGGGTGCCCAACCTTTTAAGTTTCATATTTCCTTGTTATGTTCATACTTAATCATAGTGTACTCTATTAGAATATGCTACTTTATTGTTCCGAAAGTCTCAGCAAGTCAAAGAACAAAAAAAAAAAAAAAAGGGTTTAACGAAAATTTTATATGATTTATAATTAGCTGGGTTGGCGAACAATTATGCATGCAAGTCTATATTTATAGTTGTTAGTAGCATTATTATTAGTAGCTTTTAATCAATAATTATTAACTTAAATTAACTAACTTTTAAAAGTTTTATATAAAAAGTAATTGTAGTAATTTAAAATTCGAATGAAAATAATTTTGCTAGTACAATTTTGATAGCAGATAAATTCGAAATTTAGTTCTTTTACTTGGTTCATGCCAGGCACAACAAATTGAGATGAAAAATTAGAAGTATTAACAAGTTCGATATGAAGTGGGTAAAACTTTCCTCGCTTTCATTTTTTTATATTATATTTATTTTTGTATTAATATTCAATAAATATTTTAAATTTATTTTTGTCTTATGAATATTTGATAGGTATGAATAATCATTGTATCTTACATTTTTTTAAAAATAAAAATAAAAATATATTTTTTAATTTTTATCTTACATATTTATATAATGTTTTTAAATATATTTTTAAATTAAAAAAATTTTATTTTCTTTATTTTTCTATTTTAATCTTATGTATTTATATAATTTTGTATAAATATATTTTTAAATTAAAATATATTAATTTTAATTAATCTAAAATAAAATTTTATATTATTAAATAAAAAATTATTTACTAAATATATATAAAATATTAATGCAAAACAAGTATTATATTATTTTTTCCATATCCCATAAAAAATTTAAGAATATACCGATTCCCTTTCAACCCAAAGTTTAATACACATTATTACCTCTATTCGAATAAAATATCCTTTTCCCATTGATTATGTTAACATTGACGTCCCTATTGAAGACACAGGTCCCCTACCAACCCAAACCGAAAATTTTCCCACAGGTTAAGAATATCCTCCGCCTTCCCCATTCAGGTGGCCTCACTCCCTGTGGGAAAGTTGCTGGCCAGATTGCTCCCAAACACCAAGTTTAAGATCCCGGAAACCGAGAATTTACGCTTAACCCAGGTCTGTTTAACGTTAAAGAACATGTCTTGGTCTCTTTTTCCGCTAATGCTGGGGCTGCGTTTTGAGGCGGCACGGCTTATGCTATTAATATCGTGAATATTTATTCGGGCTTTTTATCATAAAAGATTAGTTTTTTGTCTAGTTGGATTCTAGTCATCAACATGCTGTACATAGGTGAAAATTCCCACTCTTTCAAATATATATATATATATATACAACATCATTCTTGAAACTCCTTTTTTTCACTTTTTTCAGTACGTAGTGCAAATTGTAACATATGGGCAGGTTTTGGGTAGGGATGGGAGGGGATTATGAGGAAGTTCGTGGTGGAACCTGCACAAATGTGGCGGCCAAGTTGCCTGGTTCAGGTTTTTCTTTTTAGGTAAAAGAACAGTACTTTCATTTATCCATTGGCGTATGCCTCTTGATCCTTGTGAATTTGAAATTCGATTTTTTTAATCAGTTCCTTATGTTCTTATCTTGTCTGGTACACTAGTTTAATCAACTAAAATACATTGGGTTTTTACATTTTAGCCTGTTTAATTTGGTGGATTTGACATCGACCTCGTATGCTACGTCCGATCACTATACAAGTTGAGACAACTGGGTTTCTGGTATGTATCGAAGGTTCATATCTTGCTTGGAGCCAGAATAGAGCACCAAATTATTTTGGAAGTTGGAATCCAATGTAAATTAAACTTAGTACTTAGTAGGAAAGTAAATAGCTAGGGATATATAGTTTACTGGACAGTACTCCTGGATTAAATAAATAATAATGAGCAGATTTTACTCCTTAGTTCGATATTAAAGTTAAATTTCTCTTTTTTGTTTAATTTATTAGTATGGAATAACATGGTTTTGAAATTGCATATTTTTATTGTTAATGCACGAAGTAGATGCATGAGAAAGAAAGCAGCAGCATTTCCCGAGGGAAATTCTTCTTGATTGCAGTTATTTGCAGCTTCTCCTGGTATGTGTTTCCAGGCTACCTTTTCCCCACATTGCCAGCCATTTCTTTGGTCTGCTGGACATTTCCCAAGTCAGTAACAGCCCAGCAGATCGGATCAGGCATGCGAGGGATTGGCATTGGATCGTCCTTTGCCCTTGATTGGTCAGTCATTGCCTTCTTCCTTGGCAGCCCTCCGTTCACCCCCTTCTTCGCACTTGGTTGGTGGAGTACATTGTAGTATTATAGAAGTGCGGGCTGCCATTGCAGATCCAAGTCGGAAATTTGTTTGGGGTTGGTTTTGGTTTGCGGTCGTTGAAATTGCCACGTAATCATTTTAAAATGGCCGCGGTGGGTGACCGGATCTCAACGTTGTCGTTTGCAATTTAAAAAGTTAAAGGCAAAACCGGATCAGTCAAGCCTAGCCCATTACGATAAAAAATTGGTTTGGGAGGAAGCCCAACCTCTAGGTCTGGCTCAATATTAGGTCGAACAAGACCAACCAATCAGAGTCCGCAAAAGTGGGCACTAGTTTGGATAGAAGCCTAAATTTAAAAGGCCAGGCCCAATCTTAACTAGATGTGAAATGCATCTTTGGTTAAAGGAAAGCATAATTATAATTTTAGTATGCTAAAAAAAATAATTGAAAAGTCTTTTTTTTTTTTATGAAAATGATACATACTACTTAAAATTTATTAAAAATTGAAAATAATTAAAAATATAAACTAAATATCAATCTCTTAATTTCATTTATAAAATAAAAAAATTACTATCAATGTATAAAAACGAACTTTTTTTATAACATAAAATACGTAGCATATTACTTCACTCTCTATGGCATGCCCGTACTTTTTTTTTTTTTTGATATGATACAAATTTTATTAAAGTTTCGTTCCAAACAGGCTGAACTGAGAAATCAGTCTCGAAAGTATATGAGCTGCAAAACCATTAAAGATAAAATTGAAAATTATATAATGAAAATAAAATTAAAATGTTTTAAGGGATGGTGCAAAATTCATATTTGGATTAATTAATCAAAATGATCTCATTTATCCAGAAAAAAAAAAAACAAAGATGCCCATATTTAGTTTTTCCTGGAGACAAATGCTGGCCAAGAGGATTTAGTTTGTATTGTAATTTTTAACCTTTTCCTAATGTAATTTTCGGAAACTATGGAATTTTAGAATCTTTAGCCGTTTTATCAACGCATTTTATGTATTGTGCATGCTGTCCTACAATGTAAAGCAACGTTCATGAGCAGGTACGTGATTATCTACCATAATTATAAACACTAATACCAATTAACAACTAAAAGCAGACACTTTGGGGACGACCTCTCTTTTGTTAATTCTCTTTAATTTATTTTCAAACTGATTTTAAACCTTTGATTAACCACTTAATTTGTACCTTTGCAAACAATTCTTATTGAAGCAAACAATTTTAACAATCCTTTGCTTCATGATGTCGAAATCACCGTTCAAAAAAGTAAGACTAAGATTTTGTCTGGCCGATCTCGAGCATTGAATAAAATGTGACATTGATGTGCTTAGAAAGAAGGCGCAATCATTTGTTTCTCTTTGGTTTGATTGCTCTCTCTCTATGGGAACTGCGGGAATAGAAGCATCACCGAGACTAGATGAAAAAGTACTCAAAGAGCAGACTATAATTGACGAAAGTGAGCTCTCTCCGATACAAGAAGTTCGTCTAACAGTGCGCAACACCGATGACCCTTCACTCCCAGTATGGACTTTCCGAATGTGGTTCCCAGGTCTTTTCTCTTGTGCGCTTCTTTCATTCCTGAACCAGTTCTTCGGCTACCGAACGGAGCAGCTCGTCATCACCCAAATCACTGTCCAGGTTGCGACCCTCCCCATTGGAAGGTTCATGGCTTCTGTTCTTCCTACAACTAATTTCGTATACCTGGGTTTGGTTCAAGGGAATTCTCGTTTAACCAGGGACCTTTTAACTAGAAGGAGCATGTTTTGATTACGATATTTGCTAATGCTGGGAGTGGTTTTGGGGACGGTATTGCTTATGCTGTTGGTATTGTCACCATTATCAAAGCATTTTATGAGAGGCATATCTCTTTCTTGGCCGGTTGGCTTCTTATCATTACTACACAGGTTGGTTTACTCTACTTTTAGCGTTCAAAGTATGTGTATGCATGGTAGCAGTTTTGAAAGAAGAGGCTGAGACCCAGAGACTATGGAATGAGAAGTTATCAGGTTTAAATCAATTTTCATTTGATTCGATATAAAGTAATGTAGAAAAAAGAACGAAGAGATATATATCTGAATTATTTTTCTTTTTAAAGTTTAGCTAGCAATACTACAACAGTTTGTTTTGGGTTTGGTTATTATTTTTATGTTTTAATTGATTAGGTTAATTAGAATATGGTGTGGTGTGTTGAGTGCAGGTTATGGGATATGGTTGGGCGGGGCTCCTGAGGAAATACGTGGTCGAGCCGGCGCAATTGTGCTGGCCCTCTACCCTTGTTCAAATTTCTCTCTTCCGGTAATTCAAGTTTTCAGAATTATATTACACAATTAGATAACACGCATTTTCTTGGGGTTTTTTTTTTTTTTGGCTTTTGATATGTTATATACTTTCATTGTTCAGTTAAACATTCATCAATAGTCAGAGCTCTATATAAACTAGTGCTATAAAATGGCGATCCTGACGAATTTTACTACTGATATTCCAGGACTTTGCATGAAAATGAAGAAAATGATGGCAAACGCCGCATTTCACGAGTGAAATTCTTTATCATTGCATTACTTAGTAGCTTCTGCTCGTATGTGTTCCCAGGGTACCTCTTCCAAACCTTGCAAAACATCTCCTTCTTGTGCTTGGCCTTCCCCAATTCAGTAACTGCCCACCAAATCGGCTCAGGCATGAGTGGTATTGGTTTAGGGGCCTTTACACTTGACTGGACAACAGTAGCCTCCTTCTTGTTTAGCCCACTTATTTCTCCCTTTTTTGCCTTTGTAAATGTCTTCCTAGGATATGC